GGTTCCAACCGTGTGCAGTAGAGTACTTACAGTTATCTTGTTTATTTCACCTATTCTTCGTTGGGAAGATCAAGCCTCTGATCAGATAAGTATTTGCTACTCCCTTCCCCATACATTTAGTATAAAAGTAACCATTTGCTATTTCTGTAATACTGAGGATCTTGTATGCGTGTGTGTGAGAATCTGTTTTTCGTATGTATGTGAATTAGATTTAGGAAATAAAAGGAACCAATTGCTTTCATCATATATTAGCCTCGTCTCCATTTCTAACCGGACTTCCTCTGAGGGTAATTCGCATCCTGTATACATTGGTCAGTACCACCGAAATTAATATTTCATAACGCCTCTGCTGTATATAAAGCAGTTAGGCTAACCCCCCCCCCCATAGCTAGTAATCCAGAATAGTCCAGTGGAGCCTGAGCGGTGGGTGTTGCCTTCTGACACACTTCCGGTGATGTCAGGGGATGTGGCATATGCAAATAAGTTATGCTAATGAGTTATGCTAATGAGCTCCTGCACCTCTTTTTCTATGAAATGACCTCTGGCTGTGATAATTGCTACTAACTAGGAATATTCCTAACTTTCCAACCCCAAAAGAGGACATTTTCATCACTTTTTTAAAAGAACCCCAAAGAGGATAGACACGCCAAAAAAAGGACATGTCCTCTAAAAAGAGGACATCTGGTAAACCTAAAATAATGAAGGATTCAAAAGTGGCTCCATCACAGGCCAGAGGGGATAGCAGAGAGGAAAGATGGTTGTGGGCAGTGCTGTGAAGAGAAAGGGCCATAGTGGAGGCTGTTTTTCAGGAAGGAGGAGGTGGAGGAGTGGTTGGGTTTATACCCTGCCCTTCACTCAAGAGTCTCATAGCATCTTACAATCTCCTTTCCCTTCCCCTCCCCACAACAGACACCCTGTGAGGTAGGTGGGTCTGAGAGAGCTCTAAGAGCTGCTCTTGAGAGAACAGCTCTGAGAGAACTTGTGACTGACCCAAGGTCACACCAGCAGCTGCAAGTGGAGGAGTGGGGAATCAAACCCGGTTCTCCAGATTAGAGTCCACCGCTCTTAACCACTACACCGAACATCAGATACAGCTCATATACATCTGGGCTAGTCTCTCATGTAGCGTCATAGGGACTGACGCCCTGAGGAACTGTTGCCCTCTAGAGGACTGCAGAAGCTAGACGAAGAAGGCAAAAAAAAAATTGTCTAGGACCCAGTGTGCACACCACAGAAGAAGTGGTAGAATGCTTGCTAGACTGCAGGTGGTGTTCGTTTTCAATTCTTCCCCTTGGGGAAAAAACATTTTAGTATTCATTGGCTTGCTGCAGGGAGCTTTTTACGCAAGGCAGGATCCAGAAACAGGATACACACATCACCCCTAGTGGCACATTCCAAATTACTACCAAACAATTTTGCATGAATGCCAGCAGAAAACGTTCACATGCAATAGATTGTAAGCACAGTGGAAGCATTCCTGTCCTCTTTCCATTGGCACGCCATATGCAAATGTATGTTGTGTGTCAGTGTATACGTGCACACGTGTTCTGCTTTGATCACCGACAAATGTTTCCTGCCAGGAGCGTTTTCTGACATTTCAAATGGCAACTTCTGATACCCGAAACATCTTTGACAGTATCCTCTCTCGCTCTGCTCCCCTACACCCTTTCCTAGAACTGTTAAAAGTTGCATTCGGTAAAGGATGGGGCATTGCCCCACTTTCAAACGCAAGACCTGAACTAAACTGATCGTGAGCACATGTACTTTCTTGTGAATGTAAGAAGTGTCTGGCAGGATCCAACCAAGACCCAGCTAGTATGTAAGAACACAAGAAGAGCCATGCTGGATCAGACCCACAGCCCATCTAGTCTAGCACTCTGTTCACACAATGGCCAACCACCTACCTCTAGGAAGAGGAGGAAGAGATTGGACTTATACCCCGCCCTTTCACTACCCGAAGGAGTCTCAGAGCGGCTCACAATCTCCTTTCCCTTCCCCTCCCCATAACAGACACCTTGTGAGGTAGATGTCGCTGAGAGAGCTCTTTCAAGGACTACTCTTGAGAGAACAGCTCTGAGAGAACTTGTGACTGACCCAAGGTTACACCAGCAGCTGCATGTGGAGTGGGGAATCAAACCCGGTTCTCCCAGATTAGAGTCCGCGCTCCTAACCACTACACCGAACTGGAAGCCCACAAACAGGAAGTCTGGAACAGCACCATCCTACCTGTGCTCCCCAGCTACTAATTTAAAGAGGCATTTGACCTCTGGTACTGGAGGGAGTAGACAACCATCGTGATTAGTAGCTATGGGGAGCCCAGTCCTGAATTTGTCCAGTGGAGCCTGAGCGGCGGGTGTTGCCTTCTGACACACTCCCAGGGATGTCAGGGTGTGTGGCATATGCAAATAAGTTATGCTAATGAGCTCTTACACCTCTTTTTCTACGAAATGACCCCTGAACACAATTATCCCTTCTCTGGAGGGAAAAACTTACACAAACTGTATCTGGGCATATTCATGCTCCAAGGCAAATTCCTACGCAGTAGGAAAATGTTCCACAATAAAAATCTATCTGTACTGGCAGAAGACATCATGATTCACAATATCCAAACACCCAGAGCCTGAAAACATGAAATTTGAAAACATCTGTAATATCTGGAAACCCTGTGCATACCTGGGTTCTTTTCCTACTTTTTCTTTGTGGTAAGGTTAATGTTCTTCAAGATCCACAGGAGTTAGCCGTGTTAGTCTGTTGCTGCAAAATAGCAAAAAGCCCCTTAGCTCCTTTAAGACTAACCAACTTTGTCGTGCATAAGCTTTCGAGAAACACAGCTCTCTTCGTCAGGAAGAGATTCATCTGACAAAGAGAGCTGTGTTTCTTGAAAGCTTATGCTACAATAAAGTTCGTTAGTCTTAAAGGTGCTACGGGGCTTTTTGCTGTTGTTCTACAAGAGGGGCTGTAGCTCTCCTACAGATGTAAAATTCCGGAAATTTTGAAGCTACGGGGGGGTAATGTGGGGGTTTTTCCCCTTCCACCCTACGAAAAAAATGAATTGGGGGGAAGAAATTGAAATATATGCAATACTTACTGTCCTATCAAACCTAAACTAATTTTTACTTCTTTCACAACACAGATGCATCATTTATAACTTGCTTAGCATTTAAAATTGCAATGTTTGACATATTTATGGAATTTTTAGATCCTGTTGGTCTTTAAGGTGGTACTGGACTGGAATCCAGCATGTCTACAGTATGGTCACGTTGTCTTTGAAAAACATTTAACTCATTCTAAAAAAGAAAATATTTTCATTTGGGTTTTTTTTCCAGTACTCCCCAGATTTCTAATTTTTCCATTGGAAAAACTGGGAAAAGGCCTTGGGGAAAAAATAGAGGGGGGAAATCCACCCCCCCAAAAGAATATTTTCCTAGGCCTTCACATCTCTAATTTCTCCAGAGCGCTTAAAAATGCTTGTCTTGATCAGTGTTTTCTAAAGTCAGGGAAACTACTTATGGGGAGTTCCCCCCCCCCAAATACATTTTATGGGCTGGGGTAACAAAGACCCTAACAGGAGAATTTCACTGGGTCGTTTTATACCAGGATGCTTTTTTTTGTTTACAGAAAGAAAATTCCAAGTGATAATGTGGCTGTACTTTGGAGACCTTGTTTACTGATGTGCAGGGGACTATGTCCTAGGAGGGAAAAGTTCTACCACCACGTCTCTGTGCCTACAGCCAGCCCCCTGCAATGCAACTGTGGTGGAAATTCATCCCCAAAGAAGTTAGCAAGAAGTGAAGCATCTTAGCTTTCCAGATTGTAAGTGAACACTCCAGTCTGGAGTAACTCAGCATTGTATTATAAACCACCTGGTTGATGTATCACGTTAACTGGAAATCTACAGCCCGTATCTGTATTGCAGTGCCAACACGACACAACCCCATATTCAAGCATAAAAATCTATTTCAGAGTTAATATGTTATGGTTCACAAGGCTGGACTAAATCCAAACAACATTTGAGTCACACCCCATAGGAAACAGAAATATTTTTTTTTAATTTATTCAGTCAGAGATATATTACATAATTCGGCTGCGCTTTCAGGTGCGTCCCTTTTGAGGCAGAAGGCTGGAAAGCTCAGTTGTCGGGCGTGGCTTTAGGACTGTAATCAATAAGACTGGTATCGATGGAATCATAGTGAAACCACGGTCCGTCCCCCCTTTCTTTCATGAGCCAATACACTTCCTTCTCCTTCTTCCTGTTAAATGAAAGCAGCAGAGTGGTTTTACAGTGTTACTCGTGCCAAAAGTGGTTTTACAGTGTTATTCAACAGTTCAGATTTCTACAACCTTGATGAGCCGGCAGAAGTTTCTGGAATTCTGAGAAAGACTTGTGAACACCCCCCTCCCAAAATGGCTGCCATCCCTGGCAGCAGCTGGGATGGGGGAAGAGCAGGATTGGCCCCTTGCTTTGGGGAAGAGATGCAGATTGGTTTCGGTTTCCAAAGAAAGGATGTGCTCCCTGCACAGTCACAGGGAGAGGCTGCTGAGCCTAGAGACGTGAGAAATTCTGAGTCTGTAGCTAAGCCGAGGCTACATTGCTGCGATGTGACTGGCTGGAATGAGTCTAACGCTTTGCTAGTCAGGGCCAAATTTCTGGAATTCTGAGAAAGACTTGTGAACACCCCCCTCCCAAAATGGCTGCCATCCCTGGCAGCAGCTGGGATGGGGGAAGAGCAGGATTGGCCCCTTGCTTTGGGGAAGAGATGCAGTTTGGTTTCGGTTTCCAAAGAAAGCCTAGAGACGTAAGAAATTCTGAGTCTGTAGCTAAACTGAGGCTACATTGGTGTGATGTGACTGCCTGGAAGGAGTCTAACGCTTTGCTAGTCAGGGCCAAAATAGTCCTGATGGTGCTCTTGTGGCTGCCATGGGGACGCCGCCACCATTTTGAAGTCATTTTAAAATGCCACAAGGGACAATCCTAATTGGGCCTGCAGCTCTTGTGTGTCCCCCACTGCATGCATGTTCAAGTGCCAAAACAACCATGGGGGGCGGCTTCCATGATAAGGCACAGTGGGGTGACAAGCACCTGAGCCCCCAGAACTGTGGCCCGGCCCGCATGGGATTTCTAAATGGCGTTAAAATGGCGGCAGTGTCCTTGAGACAGCCACGAGAACAGCATCACATATAGCTTGGCCACCTGGTATCGTGTGCCCTGAAACTCCCTGTGTGTTTCTTCTTGTCCGGTGACAATTATCTCACCACCGTGTCTCAAGAATCAAGTGAGCATCAAGAAACCAAAAGGAGGGTCCCATGCTGGGGACTTCTGGGTTAGTTAACTACAACTGCTAGGGTTGCCAGTCTCCAGGTGGTGGCTGAAGATCTCCTGGGATTACCACTGACCTCCAGGCGACAGAGATCCACCTGGAGAAAATGGCCGCATTGGAAGCTGGACTCTATGGCATTATACGCCACCGAAGTCCTGCCTCTCCTCAAACCCCACCCTCCTCAGGCTCCACCCCCAAAATCTCCAGGTATTTCCCAGCCCAGAGCTGGCGACCCTAACCAGTGCTAAGGCCACATACCGTGAACGGATTTACCTCACAGTTGAAGTCGGCCGGAAGACAACTTGCCTCCACACCCTTTGCATATACTTAAGCTGCCCGGTGAAGTCAGGAGTGCTTGGAGCCAGCCCACTGCACCCAATCCCTCCGCTTAATTATTGTTTTACTTATTAGTTAAAATATTTATATCCCTCCTCTTACTGTGGTGCAAAAGCAGCTCGTTGTGTGAGCTTTTTCAGTGGTGCCCTGGTGTTATGGAATGGCTATCTGAACGCACCACTGAAAGCTCCTAACTTGCTGGCATCCCAGGGGTGGTGGTGAAACTAAACATTAAAGTCCATATTTGACACCCCCTGAGAGGTTTGTAAACCAGGGCTAGTTCTTAGGGATTAGTAAAATGTTGTGGTTTTCTAAGAAGGCATGGTTGCAGTGGTATTTCGTGGGCTCCATTGTATTTATGGGCTGGTGGTTGATAAATTATCTTTCTTCATCAACGTCATTATCCGCCCAAGGCCCCAATTTTTATTAGGTATAAATATTTTAATAAAAACAAATAAGCTCTCCAAAATACATTCCTGGCAGCGTCTTAAGCCCGGGCAACTGCTGTTTTCAGGCCCGGGCTGGCTTTGGATGCACGAATGTCACACCATTTCCGTGGCAAGCCAAAAGAAGCCACCCTGCACTGATTTCTGCACGGGCCACAGCAGGATAAGTTGTGTGAACAGAACCCAATGACAAAATATTAGCAGGTTCTTCCTCCTCACAAGAACACCTCAGGAACCAGCTGCCCATAAACAGCACAGCGGTTTTCGAAATGGACATTGGATCAGGCGCGGGTTGAGGAGTTTTGGGATCTGTAAGCTCTGGGAGCACTTTATGTTAAGCAAAATTATGAGCCAACCCATGGAGCAAAATTTACATAACTATCAAAGCAATTTCCAAGCCTTTTGGTTCCCTATAGTGGAATATTTAACAGAAAGAGAAATAATCCCTGAAAATTCACATTATCGAGACCTATTATATTTTTGAAAGTTAATCACTGAGATCAAGGTATGCTGTTTCCCACGGTTTTAGGTAAGACTTTCATTAGATACGCATAAGGAGAAAGTATGCTCAAGGCCAGTCACATAATAACAAGATATCAGTTGCACAAGATTTTGTCTACACGCAGTTTTGTTTGGCATTGTTTAATAGTTACTGAATGTAATAATCTTAAATTTGGTCATTATTATATGTTTTGTCATATTTGATACTCTGGTTTAATTGTTATATTGAATTTCTGAAAATAGATTAAAAAAAAAAGTTCTGGGACCTGTCTCAGGGCGAGGCCCTAAACCGGGTGATCTTTTCGATGTTCCTCCAACCTGACAGGTACAGACTGAGGCCAGAGGTCTTATCACAAGGAATTTTACAGCGGTGCATCGCCAAAACAGAAGAATGTGTGAATGTGGAATAAGGGTTATGAATTTTGCTCTGGTCTTTCAGTACAGCAAAGGCCCCCCATTATTTGGACATTCAAACCTAGGCTGGAGCGAGACCATGTCTTAATATACCGCTGCCGGTCAATTCTTCAAAGTCAGATTTATACCCTCTACAGTTCAGTCCTATTCCATTCGGCTGGCAGCAGCATTTCTTTTCCCTGCACAAGGAATACTCTTCCGGTGGAAGAAGTCTTCTATCAGGCCTCTTGCACTGGGGAAAGACACTGCTGCTAGGTGAAGTGTCCAGCCCAATACCTTTGGCTCAGGAGCCACAGTTCAGAGTTCCATTACATGGGAGGGGGGAATTAACAATACGTCTTGCGATCTTAATACCTTAACTCGATTTTCTCAGTTTCACCATGAATCCAAGCCAAGACTTTTTCATAATTCTTTTCGGGCGGGTCCAAAAGATAGCATGCGATCCACCTAGTTATGGGATGCTGGAGAAGAGGGGGGGGGAAGCAAGTTACGAAGGAGCAGTGGAAATCTGTATGGTATTGAACTGGCTGCAGTGAAGCCTGTGATGCCAATTGGTGTGATGGCACAGAACACGAGAGCCAGCATAGCGTAGTGGTTAGAGAGTCGGACTGAGGGCCGGGAGGCCCAGGTTCGAATCCCCACTCCACACGGGATCCCCACTGGGGAGAAAAGCAGAGTATAAATGTCTCAATAGAATAAAAACACAAAGAGCAAGAAGGATTGCTCCTGGTTTTGAAAACAGAAAAGTCATCAGCGCACAGACTGGTGATGTTGGGTTGGAGCCGTTAAGAACGTAAGAGAAGCCATGTTGGATCAGACCAATGGCCCATCCAGTCCAATACCCTCTGTCACACAGTGGCCAAAAATACCAGGTGCCATCAGGAGGTCCACTAGCATGGCCAGAACTCCAGAAGCCCTCCCACTGTGGTCCCCCCCAAGCACCAAGGATACAGAGCATCACTGCCCCAGACATAAGAACATAAGAGAAGCCATGTTGGATCAGACCAATGGGCCATCCAGTCCAATGCTCTGTCACACAGTGGCCAAAAATACCAGGTGCCATCAGGAGGTCCACCAATGGGGCCAGGACACTAGAAGCCCTCCCACTGTTGCCCCCCCCCCCCAAGCATCAAGGATACAGAGCATCACTGCCCCAGATACAGTGTTCCAACTATAGTGTTCCATTCCATGAGCAGAGGTGCTTTGCTCCAGTGGAAAGCTCCTTCTACAGGAGGAAAGCTCATGAACTAGTACCCATTATTTAGCTGGCGTAGTGGTTAAGAGCACAGACTCTAATCTTGGAGAACCAAGTTTGATTCCCCACTCCTCCACATGCAGCTGTTGGGTGACCTTGGGTCAGTCATAAGTTCTTTTGGAGCTGTTCTCTCAAGGGCAGTTCTCGAGAGAGCTCTCTCAGCCCTACCTGCCTCACAGGGCATCTGTTGTGGAGAGGGGAAGGGAAAGGAGATTGTAAGCCACTCTGAGACTCCTTCGGGTAGTGAAGGGCGGGGTATAAATCCAGTCTCCTCCTCCCCTCCATCGTCTTGCCCTACCAGGCAATGGACAAAGGCCATCTGGCTTGCGCTAGTTGGAAGCAGAACCAATCAAGCGGGGAAATCCTTACAGTCTTCTCTCCCCTAGTGGTGAGGACTTGCAAGAGGAGGACCAGCTTAGTAAATATGAGGACAGAGATGTGTGTTCTCAGTAAAGATGAGTACAGATACACACACAGGTATATCAAAAGCCCTTCTCTTAAAACTTCCACAACCTTATTTATATAAATGGGAAGGTCCGTGAGCCAAGCCGAGGGAGAAAGACCCCCCTCGCTTTTAATGTTCAATGGATTTTTCAGTTTAGAATCTAAGTGTACAGCCCGAAAGAAGGGGAGGGGTGTGTGAAGGATTAAAAGTCCGCTTCGGGATAGCTGAAAAGTTCTCGCTAGGCAGAATGGAGACAGGCCCAGACTTAAGCTGAGAATTCTCCTGCCAGCCCTTGTCAGATCTCAGAAGCTAAGGAGGGTCAGAACCCGGGAGAGAGACCGGTCCACCAAGGAAGACTCTGCGGAGGAAGGCAATGGCCAACCACCTCTGCTTCTCACTTGCCTGGAAAGCCCCTGGCTGGGGTCGCCGTTAAGTCGGCTGTGACGTGATGGCACTTTACTCAAACATGCTTTTTTTCTCCGGTTCCAGACCAACAACACTCCCAACGGCTCATCTCCCCAGCTGTTTAAACTTCCCAAGCGCTCCCTTCCCACGCTTGCTTTGCGGCCAC